AAACTGAAGAAGGCTCATCCAGGTAAGAGGCAAAGAAAGTTCTAAACCCCAGCCCTAGAAAAATTCTCTCTAGAATTTTTCTCTCAAGTGCCGCTGCTACGGTGTCGTGAACAGTAGCATAATGCTTCACTATTCATCTAAAGAAACAGTGATTCGCTATTGTTCATCGCGGAAAAGCTGGAAGTTTGAGCTTCAATGACCATAATGGCCAGCGGCCAGCCACTTTTTCCGGCTGGTCAACCCTCTCCCTCTATCGCCCCAACAAATACGACCACAGAATCCAATCCCCAACCTTTTAGATTTCTCGAAAATCCTAAAACCTTCAACACTGAACAGTTCCCTGCAGGAACGAGCCAATTCTATTGAACCAATTGCACTTCCTCGAGCTAGTTTGCTTAATGGACAACCTTTTGTTAAGTTTACTGAAGCAGAAGTGGATTGAATGAATGCGATTAAAAGATTGCAATATGCAGTAGTTTGTAAATTCTCATATGGATGGCCTGAGCTTAATGAACTACGCCGAATTGTCCCTCCTCAATGTGGAATTAAGGGCAAATGTAATATTGGATACCTTAGGTACATGCATGTATTGATACGCTTGACACTATGGCAAGATTTCATTGATTTTACTTCGAAAAGTGTTTACTATATCAAGGATAAGCTTGGGTATGAATACCAGTTGCGAACACTGATTTATGATACAAAATTCAAAGCCGGAGAGGAAACACTAAAGGTAATGACTTGGATTTCTTCTCCTAACTTGTTGCCAACTTTTTTTGTCAAGGAATATTTATTTTCTTTAGCCTCAGCAGTGGAAAAATCCCTTCACCTTGATATGGCTACTGTGAATAAAACTAGGCCTAGTTGTGCGCGTGTGAAAGTGCTTGTTGATCTTTTAGCTGACCTTCCTAAGAAGGTGCACATGGACATTGAGAATGAATTAACTGGGAAAGTAAGAACTGATTGGGTAATTATTAAATACGACTACTTGCCTAAATATTGTAAGAAATGTAAATTACAAAGACATGATATGTTGGAATATTGGAGGCTTCATCTTGAACTGATGGCAACTAAGAATGTGGAGCAGCAAGGTTTAAATGAAGCAGTGGTAGGAGCTAACAAAGAAAAAGTTAAAGAGACAACCCCTTTGATGATCCTATCAAGTGGTAAGGTAGTTGGTAATGTTGGTGTGTAATGGAAAGAGGCAAGGGACAATCGAGGCAAAGGCAAGGAGAAGCTGACTGATGGTGTGGCTAAAACTGGATAAGAAATTGTACTAGTTGAGAAACAATCTACTGTGGTGCCTCAACAGGTACAAACAGCTAATCAATTTACAATATTGGAGGTGGATAACAGTGAAGCTAATGAGAATAATCAGTTGGTTTTGGTTGAGGAGAATTCTGGGCAAGGAGACATTTCTAATCCTAAGGAAACTGCAACTTTAAATCCCGCAGCACCAACATTTAATCCAAAATCTCCAGTACTTGACAAACAAAATAATGGAGCCAATGTGAATTCAAATGTAGCAGGGAAAAGTCTTAATTCAGTAGTCCCAAATACTAGTCCCAGTTTGGCAAGGATTAACAATAAAAAAGAGCGTGAAGAGGCAAGAAATAAGGAGAAAAGAGTACAAGATCAGCAGAATAAGGAAACAACTGCACAATGGTTACAAAGAGCTTTCAATAGGAATTTAGTTGGAACTAATAAATCCTGCCAAGATTTTCCATCTCAGGACACTAGATTTGAAGGAGAATTGGCCAAAAATATTGACAAGGATCATATTGTTGATGCAGACTTTGAAAAATTCAAAAGCAATGAAAAGGTCAATTCGAAAGGTGGCAAATTATGGGCTGATCAGACTGAAGAAGACTCAGAGGAGGGGGAAATTCCTGATGAGATACAAAGTGAAGAGGAAATTGGAGGCAATGCAGTTGATGAAGAAGACCAAAATGTAAATGGGATTGCCAATGCAAAGCAGACTACTGAAGAGCAGAGTTTAGTAAATTCCAAAGAACTGAATTCTAACAAGGTTGATCTGATTAATGCTGAAGGAAATAAGGCAGAAGCAATAATTGATAAAGGAGTAGATATCAATGTTATTGATCCAAGTGGAACAGGACAAGGTGGTATAGTTGATGTTGCTGCTAATTCTAAATCGAACGGCAGTGCAAAAGTATCAAAAAAGCAGTTGACTAATCCACAGGTGCAGGCCACAACAGATATTACTATTCCATTGAATCTAGTACAGCTGCAGAATAAGAACAATGCTGGGGAGCAGACTGTGACTACTATTCAGGAAAACACTGGTGCGGTGGCTACAGAAGGTGCAAAAAAGTTAGAAGTTCTAGCTGATCATGCAAACAAAGACTTAGATGAAGAGTCTAATGCACAAAACCTTCTTAATGTTTCTAGGCAAGGGGATCTCTCACCTAGGCATACATGTAACTTGACAGATTTGGGATTCAAGGAGAGTATTTTTACATGGTGGAATGAAAGATCAGAGGATGATTGTATATTTAAGAGACTCGATTTATGCCTAGGCAACATGGAATTACAACAAACTTTTTCTGGTTTGGAGGTGACTCATTTGTCCAAAATTAGATCAGACCATTGTCCTATGCTACTGAAATGTGATATTGAATCTACCCCTATTAAGAAGTCTTTTAGATTTCTTAATTTCTGGGTAAAACATGCCTCGTTCAAAGATGTGGTAAGGGAGAATTGGAAGGCAGATTTCAGTGCTAATCCATTTGTAATTTTCAACTACAAATTAAAGAAGCTCAAGAAAGCACTGTCTACTTGGAGTAGAGCTACTTTTGGAGACATATTTCAGAAAATTACGAGCTTAGAAGAAGTGGTATTAGTGCATGAAAGGAAGTTCAAAGCTTATCCTACTCAGATGAATAGAGAAAGGCTACAAAAGGTTCAAGCTGAAATAATAAAATACCTTGCACTTGAAGAAGATATTTGGAGACAAAAAGCTGGCATGACTTGGTTCAAGGATGGAAATAGAAATACAAAATTGTTTCACGCTCAAGTCAATGGTAGAAGGAAGAGATTGAAGCTCAAAAATATCAAAAACAGTCTTGGCAACTAGATTGAAGAGGATGAACTAATAGCAGAAGAGGCAGTCGATTTTTATAAGGAGCAGTTCTGTGAGAGTATAGTTCCTACTGCATTCGATATTTTAAATCATGTGCATTGCTTGGTTGATATGGACCAGAATGAAAAGTTGATGAGCATGCCTACAAGAGAAGAGGTTAAGTTGGCAGTGTTTGGATTGAATGGAGACTCAGCAGGAGGGCCATATGGTTTTATAGGTGCCTTCTATCACACATGTTGGGAGATCATTGAGGAAGATGTGTTTGCAATGGTGATGGCATTCTTCTGTTGTCAGCAATTGCCTAAACGTGTGACACACACAAATCTTATCCTATTGCCAAAAAAGAAAGAAGTAAATATCTTTGCTGACATGAGGCCAATCAGCCTTAGTAATTTTGTCAATAAGATTTTCTCTAGGGTGATTCACGAGAGATTAGTGGGGCTATTACCTGAGTTGATTTCAGAAGAACAAGCAGGCTTTGTGAAGGTGAGAAGCATAGTAGAGAATGTGATACTAACACAGGAGATCATCACTGATATTAGACTCAGAACAAAGGCAGGGCCAAATGTTGTCATAAAGCTCAATATGGCAAAAGCCTATGATAGGCTATCTTGGTTGTTTATAACCAAAATGTTGAGGAAACTGGGATTTTCAGAAAGATTCATTGGGTTGTTATTTGATATTGTAGGGAATAACTGGTATTCTATTCTTGTGAATGGACAACCACATGGATTTTTCAAATCATCGAGGGGAGTTAAACAATGTGATCCTCTTTCACTTACACTGTTTATCTTAGCTGCTGAAGCACTATCACGAGGCTTGAATTCTCTGCATTTGAATCTTTATTTTTGTGGGTATGGATTGCCAAAATGGAGCCCAAAAATAAACCATCTATCATATGCAGATGACATAATAATATTCTCTTCATCTGATGCAACATCATTAAGACTTATCACGTATATTCAGGGGTTCATATCCTTAGTACCAAGTTTAGAAGTGTTACTTACCTTGAACAAGCGAAATCCAATACCGAGCAAGCCAAACAATGCTCCAAACATGCCATCCCGCGTGTACTGACCTCCGAAAGGCTCGAAACTAGCAAAAACTAACTCAAACACATCAAATAATGCCTAAGGAAACCATTCCAAATGATAAAGGTCGAATCTTTAATTAAAAGTCCAAAGTCAACCAAAAAGTCAAATCGGGGTCCGTACCTCGAAACCCGACAAAACTCACAAAATCTGACAACCCATTCAATTACGAGTTCAACCATACTAATTTCACTCAAATACGACTCCGAATCGACGTTCAAAACTCAAAAATTCACTTTATGAAACTTTAGACAAAAACCCCCAATTTATCTTTTGAAATCACCAACCAATTGCTAAAAACAAAGATAGATTCACGAAATATAACCATAACCGAGTAGAGAACACTTGCCCCAATCCATAAGGTGGAAATCGCTTAAAGAATCGTCTCAATCCGAGCTCCATAGCTCCAATTATGCAAAAATGGCTGAAACCCCCGAAATAGAGTACTTTATAATCACTAGACGAATCAATGAGTCGCGATTGCGAAGAAGAAAAATGCACAGCCCAAAATTACCCTATGCGATCGCGGAATAACCTTGGCTAACGCGAAGAACAACCAACACTGCCTCCCAACAATACGCTATGCGATCGCATAAATATCCATGTGAACGTGAAGCACACATGCGGCCAAGCTTCGCTAACGCGTCCCGTCTTACGCGAACGCGGTGAAGAATTTCCAACTCCCAGCTTCCCGCCTCAGCTCTATGCGAACGCAGCCTCCACCATGCGAACGCGAACAATATCCAGCTCCAAGATATACGATCGCAACCCTCCAATCGTGACCGCGATTAAGAAACTGCCCAACTCCATGTTTTTTTCTATGCGATCGCATCACATACTTTGCGATCGCGAAGACCATTTGGTGCACCAGACTTCAGCAGAAACCAGCAATGCAATATGAAGAAACAATGGTCCGAAGTCAATCCGAAATATGCCTGAGCCCCTCGAGACCACATCCGAACATTCCAACAAGTCCGATAACATGACACAGACCTACTTGAGGCCTCGAGTCATGCATAACAACATCGAAATGACGAATTTCACCTCAAATCAAACTTAGTGAACTTTTGAACTTTCAACTTCCAAAACTCGCGCCGAAACATATCGAATCAATTCGGAATGAATTCAAATTTTGTACACTAGTCCCAAATAACATAATGAAGCTATTCCAATTTTCAGAACTACAATCAGAATCTGATATCCTCAATGTGAACTCTCGTTCAAACTTATGAACTTTCTAAACCTTCAAATTTTCAACTTTCGCCAATTAGCTCTGAAACTTTCTAAAAATATCCAAATGCAATTCCGGGCATACTCCCAAGTCCAAAATTACCATTCGGACCTAACGGAACCATCAAAACTCTATTCCGGGTTCAAATTCTCAAAGGTCAAATTTGGTCAACACTTTCAACTTAAAGCTTCTTAGTTGAGAACCGTTCTTCCAAATTAATTCCGAATAACCTGAAAGCCAAAACCGACGATTCACATAAGTCATAATACATCATACGGAGCTACTCCTGCCCTCAAACCACCGAGCGAAGTGTAGATGCTCAAAACGACAGGATGGGTTCTTACAGGTGACTAGTGGAAGTTAGTCTACAGTTCGCGATCATGGGCATGCATTCGCGAAGCTTTGTGTTCTCAGGTCACCGCGAATGCGAGTGGTACGTTCGCGTAAAAGGAGTGGTCAGTTGGGGTGTAAGGCTTCAAGCCTACGTGTTTGCAAAGAGTTGGATCTGGTAAACATCACGTTCACGATTGAATCTTCGCGTTCACGAAGTATATTTTTAGGACATCATCTTTTGTTCTTCGCAACCGTGAGGGACTTTCCGCGATTGCGAAGAGGAACCATTGGGTAGAAGATATTTAATTCCAAATCAAGGGTTAGAGTACCATTTTCATATTTTGAGTTGTAGAGCTCGGTTTTGGGTGATCTTGGAGGGGATTTTCACGTCTTGGATCGGGGTAAGTGTGTTTGACTCGGATTTGTTAATATATCATGATTCCATCTTTGTTTTAGCATTTAAATTAGTGGATTAAAGTGAAGAAATGGGAATTTTTTGGAAACCTTTCAAAAATGAAAAATGGAATTTTGAAGGTCGATTTGAGGTCAAAATTGGATAATTTTAGTATGGTTGGACATGTAATTGAATGGGTATTCGGATTTTGTGAATTTTGTCGGGTTCCGAGGCGTGGGCATGGGTTGACTTTTTGATTTTGATAAAGATTGAAACTTTATTGTTTGAAGTTGTTTCCTATGGCATTATTTGTTGATATTGAGTTATTTGTGACTAGATTCAAGTTGTTTGGAGGTCGATATATTTAGGAAGGGCTTGTTGGAGTTGTGATTTGTGCAGTTTGAGAAAAATAACACTTCTAAACTTGAATTTGAGGGTATTTAACCCTAGGGACTAGTGAAAGATATTGGGGTGACGTATGCGCTTGGTGACGGGCTTGTGTGCGTGCACCGATTTGTTCATAGTTTGGGGGAGGCCTTTAGGCTAATACCGGGTTCATTATGCTATCATACCATGTTACCCCCGCATCCCTTATACTTGTTTGATTATTTGAGCTGTGAATCATGTTAGACATCGTGTCTAGTCTACGTGCTAACGGTTTGAGACTTGATAGGGCTATTCTTGCTATTTCTACGTTATATACCTTATTTGCACACATGTTCTCAGTCATGATACTATATCCATGTATCATACTGCTATCTCAGTACTTCTTATATAATTACTCACATGTTGGTGATATCGATTAAAGGGTAAAACTATTTAATTAAATATTTGAGATGTGCTCATCTGAGATTTGAACGGTAAATGACCGATTTGAGCCGTAGAGCCGGTTTGGTACTTATTTTGAGGTGACGCGTATGCCAGACCCATATTGGGCTGAGTGTTATTGTTTTGAGGCGATGCGTGCACCAGGCCTCATTATTAAGCTAAGTGATTACAATTAGCACTTGGGCAGGATTTGCCCTTTCGTAGTTTGACATGCTAGCAATGGGCGCATGCATAGTGTTTCATGTATATGCTTGATGATGGGCAGTTATGCCAGGCACCCTACAGTGCTAAGTGTAAATACTATTGATGGATCCACTACGATACTGTTGATTTACGTGTATTCTTGACATGTAGGCATAGAGATGTACTTTCCTCATGCTAACTATTAATTGGCCTACTTTATCCGTGCTGGGTTTAAATTGTTATACTTGAAAGTATGCCTAAATTCTTGAAATGAGAATGAGTTGTACTTGATATCATTGATTTACTGTTTCCATAGTTTATCTTGTATTTACTAAACTATTATCGATTATTGGTACTGACATTTGACTGTTGTTCTGAGCTCGTCACTGCTTTCAAAACAAGGTTAGTGTTATTACTTATTGAGTACATTGGGTCGGTTGTACTCATACTATACTCTACACTTTGTGTGCAGATCCAGGTATATCCGGTCGAGGTAATTTTCCGACTTGAGTTGTGCCAGCTTGCTTGGGAGTCTACGAGGTAGCTGCCATTCCATCCGTAGTCCTTGAAGCTCTCTTCCCGATATCTTTATCTTTACTGTTTCTTATGTTCAGACAGTTGTATCAGAGTATTTATTCTGTACTTTGTTATTCGGTAGTGTTCGCGTACGTGTTGACACCAGATTTTGGGCTTGGGTTGTAGTAGCATTTCGACTATATTCTCTATTATTTTATGACATTCTTTCGCTGTTGAGTTATTAGAATATGTTATCTCATTTTCATTTCTAATCATGTGATTGTTGGCTTACCTAGCGGGTTGGGTTAGGTGCCATCACGACTTATGGATTTTGGGTCGTGACTAGTTGGTATCAAAGCCCTAGGTTGCTTAGGTCTCACGAGTCACGAGCAAGTTTAGTAGAGTCTTTTGGATTAGT